CCAATGGTGTTGAAAGGAGAAGTCCAAGATGCACTGAAGGCACTGGTGAAAAACAGTGCTGCAGGAATTGATGGAATACCCATTGAGGTATTTCAACTGATGCAGCCCTGGAGGCACTCACTTGTTTGTGCCAAGAAATTTGGAAGACAGCTATCTGGCCAAGCAGCTGGAAGAGATCCATATTTGTGCCCATTCCAAAGAAAGGCTATCCAACAGAATGCAGAAATTATCAAATAGTATCATTAATATCACACACAAGAAAATTTTCCTAGAGATAATTGAAAAATGATTGCAGCAGTTATCAATAGGAAATTGCCAGAAATTCAAGCTAGATTGAGAAGAGGACATGAAATGAGGGATATCATTGCTGGTGCTGGATGGATCTTGGCTTAAAGCAAAGAATACCAGAAAGTTGTTTACCTGTGTTTTATCGATTTGCAAAGGCATTAGACTTTGTGGATCATAACCAATTATGGATAACATTGTGAAGAATGGAAATTCCAGAACACTTAATTGTGCTCATGAGGAACCTGTACATAGACCAATACACATTTGTTTGAACTGAACAGGGGGATACTTTGTTGTTGTTAAGTGCCGTCAAGTCGTTTCCGACTCATAGCGACCCCATGCACAGCAGAACGAAACACCTCCTGATCCTGTGCCAGCTCCATGATCCTTGCTATACTTGAGCCCATTGTCACAGCCACTGTGTCAATCCACCTCATCAAAGGTCTTCTCCTCTTTCATCGACCCTCCACCTTACCAAGCATGATATCCTTCTCCAGGGAAAGGTCCCCTCTGACAATATGAACTAAGTAGGTGAGACGAAGTCTGGCCATCCTCGCTTCCAAGGAGCATCTCGGCTGAACTTCCTCCAGGACAGATCTGTTAGTTCTTTTGGCAGTCCATGGTACCTTCAGCATTCCTCACCAGCACCACAACTCAAAAGCATCAACTCTTCTTCGGTTTTCCTTATTCATTGTCCAGCTCTCACATGCATAGGAGGTGGTTAGAAATATCATGGCTTGTGTCATGGCTTGTGTCAGTCCTCAAGGAGACATCCTTGCTCCTCAGCACCTGAAAGAGTTCCTTCACAGCTGACCTGCCCATTGCTACACGTTGTCTAATGTCCTGACTGCTGGTTCCATTGGTCTCGATTGTAGAGCCAAGCAACGTGAATTCTTTGACAACTTCAATCTTTCCTCCATTTATCATGATGCTGCTTGTTGGTCCAGTTGTGAGGATCTTTGTCTTCTTTATATTGAGATGTAATCCATACTGCAGACTGTGTTGTTTAATCTTCATCAGTAAGTGCCTCAAGTCATCCTAACTTTCAGCAAGCAAAGTTGTATCATCAGCGTATCTCAGGTTGTTAATGATTCTTCCTCCAATCCTGATGCCACGTTTTTCTTCATATAGTCCAGCTTCTCAGATTATTTG